CTTCACTGGACAATCTCGCACAAAATGGTCGGTACTACCACATTCATGGCATTTAAGAACCTGGCCGTCTCTTCCTCGCGGGTTCCCCCGCCTACCTTTGCCTTTTCCTGAGGTCTCTCTACGGCCTTTGCCGCGGCCCTTTCCCCCAAAGAATATCTCATCATGTTGTTCATCTGAGAGCCTCTGGAGAAATGCCGCGATGCCTCGCCCGTTCAACCTCCGACGACCTCGCTTACCTTTACCTTTTCCCTTAAAACTTCTCCGTGTCCTCCTTCTAACACGACGCACTGGTTTTCGCGTGAACCTCCTCCACCTTCGTTTAGCCTGTTGTAGTAACCAGAACAAATGTTCAGCACGCTGATTGTCGTTATCCATATTCATAATATCTGACCAATCTAGAGCTTCAACACCATCTGATGATATAGTGTCTGTATCGGTGCCGGAGTCGAAATCCTCGTCTCCCAAGTAGGTGGATACACCGTCGGTTAGGGGGTTTGATTCCCCCCATAAAGAACGGTGTGGTTGTGGTTCTCTAGAAGGAGGGCTGGTTGCCCAGCTTGGTTGTGATCGATCTCCTGCTAATAAAGCAGTGGATTCTCCAGGATCGTCGGCCCATATACTTGAGGGCCCGTTTCCAGGCTGGGCTTCAGTAGCCAAGGTAATGTAGCAATTTCCACGACCAGATCCCCTTCCCCTTCCAAACACAGATCCTATGTTGCCAGGAGACCGTTCAGATAGGTGGCCTATCGAACGCATCCTCTCCAGCAACTCATCATACTGTTGTTTTCGGGGCATTTGGTGATTGAGTGGCTGTAAGAGTTGCATGGCTCGCTGGTTGCCGACGCCTAAGGCGCGGAATAGGATAGTGGTTAGCAGTTGGAAGTTGGGAAGGTCGAGTCCCACCGACTGTGCCTCAAGTCGGGCCATTTCGAATCGGGCACGGGTGACATCGATTCGTTCCCCGTGAGGCACGTGGAAGTCGATGAGTTGTGTGCCGGAAGTGAGCTGACGCTCATCTTCCAGGCGTTCGAACTTCATGCTTAGGAGGAACATGATGTAGGTCACTGGGTCGGTGTGGACCCCATCGATGTCAGCACCATAGTTTATAATGTCAGGTGGTACCCTCATGGCGAGTGTCCTCGCTAGGCCACCTAGGCCGCGTTGTATTGCGGCCGCTTGGGCCTGTGGCGTCATACGTCCGCTTGTAACGTTGAGCCATGCGTTGACCTCGTAAATGTACTCGCGAAAAGGTACATTACCTTGAGGGTCCCAATATGGGCCATGTGTTTGCCCATCGGTGCTGTTTTCTCCACGACGCATGTGTCCGATTGCTGCCCCCAGCGCGAACCATATAATAGCGAAAACGACTAGCCCGAGAATGTGTAGAGAAGGACGGTTATGATGCGCGTTGCCGCGCTGGGGTAGGGCCTTGTCGAGTCTTCGAGGCGCTCTGTCTGGCGGGTTTCCCCGCCCCTGCTTCAAGTATTGCGCTGTTAGCTCGTTGCCGAGCGGTTGGTGGTAACGCAATGATGAAGCGTATATGGTACCAATCTGGTCGTCTAGACGTCGTACCTCTCGTGTTGCTTCTTGCTCTTGGATAGATCCTCGTAAACGTACTGGGAGTGGTGGCGCAGGGTGGTAGGTGGTCACGAAGATCGTGCCGAAGAGTATGAGGCTAAGAAGAGCAAGAGCTGACCACACGAGAGTGCGGCCAGCTCCGCTACCAAGTCGAAAGTGCATCCGATTCCATGATAGACATCGGATGGCAAATAGCGTCCATCGCTCTGCTGTGATAGTTCAGTATGAGGAATGGGCGGATAAGATAGGATAAGATCGATGTAATGATCTTTCCGGCACATAGCGAACACTCGCGGTGTCCGGGCAAATAGGGCGCGCGTGCCTTGGGCCAAAGGCAACGGCGCGCGCGAGCTATGCTCCCGATACTATAACATTTCCCAAAGACCTACCCTTAAAGTCAAAGACTCCCAAGAGGGCTCCAAGACGACCCACCGAGGGCCCCAACACGGCCCAAGAATCCCCCGAGAAAGCCCAGGGCCCAGGAGGGCCCCGAGACAGCCACAAGAGGGGGCCCAGAGGGGGAACCCGAACGGATATTTCGAATCCTCCACTCCAAGACGCCTCCGGGTTGCTCCAGGGAGCTCCCGGCAGGCCCCAAGGGAGCCCCAAGATGGCCGCAACAAGCCCCCAAGAGGCCTCCAGGAGCCCAGGAGGCCCCCAAGAGGTTCAAACAACTGCCTCCAAGACGCCCCCGAGACGCCTCCCACGAGACCTCATCAACCATCTGAATGGCCTCGGACCCGCAACCCAGACACGGTGGCGGGATGTGCAGAAGGCCATTGGATAATCATTCCGTGGGGTGTTTTGACAAATGACCTACGTCTGCATACGTGGGTCATCGCCCGGTTCCCCACGCGTGCCCGTTACCCTGTGACGTACCCAGCCTATTTGCACCAATTGACAACAAGAGCTGGCCTAAACTTGCCAGGAGAATGTCAGTGCAGGCGCTGTCATATGTTGTGCAAGCTACATGGGATGCGCTCACGTGGCACGATTCACAAGACAACGAGGGCCCAAGCTTGAGGAGGACACGGGGGCGGGAACGAAAGGCAGGAGAAGGACACACGGGGGGCCGAACCGTCAGCGCGGCAGCAGCAGAGGGAAGGTGGCAGGGGGCAGAGGACCACGACGATAGCGACGGGAGGAGACCGAAGAGTGTTGCTTCTGTCGGTGGTACGCTAAATAATCAACGCTACCTGCGCCATGTCGCCGCGGCGCTCGACCGAATGGTTTTACCTGCTGATGATTAATGCCAGAACCGCGCAGGCGCCGCCGCGGCAGCACGTGCCGGATCTCCTCCCCTGGTTCCTCCTCCTCCTCCTCCTCCTCCTCCTTTTCCGCATCGTCTCCCCCTTCCTCCTCTTCAGCCTCCTCCTCCTCCTCCTCCGCCTGTCCTCCTCCGCCGCCTCTGGACCCCTCAAAATGGCGAGATCTCATCTGAATCAAAAATAGGACGCCACTCCGCTGGGGCCCCCAGCAGCCCTCGAAAGTGGCGACAGCTTCGCAGATCGCAGCCCCGCAAGGATTGCGAAGTCTCCTGTTGGTCTGGGTAAGACGTCACTCTGCTGGACCCCCCAGATGCCCTCGAAAGTGGCGACAGCTTCGCAGATCGCAGCCCCACAGGGATGGCGAGGTCTCCTGGTGGTCTGGGTAAGACGTTACCGTACTCCGCTGCACCTCCCAGCGGCCCTCGAAAGTGGCGACAGCTTCGCCGATCGAAGCCCCCCCAGGAATGGCGAGGTCTCCTGTTGGTCTGGGTAAGACGTCATTCCGCGGCACTCCCCAGCAGCCCTCGAAAGTGGCGATAGTTTAGCAAATCGAACCCCCACAAGGACGGAGAGGTCTCCTGGTGGTCTGGGTAAAACGTCACTCCGCTGCAAAAACCACCCCTAAATATCATGAATATCCGTGCTTCCACATGGCTTCCTGGCGGAAACGATACACAATGTCATTGGCATCCATTTTCGCGCGGCTCCCCTGCGAAAGCCTCCCCAACTATTAGGAAGATCCGCGTTCTCATGGATGTTCCTGCCCAGCGTTTCGCCCCCGGGGGGCGCGGACCTGGGGAAGGGGCACGCGGGGGGGGGGGTGCGCCCGTCCCCAGAGAGCCAGCAAATGTCAAGAACATCTTTGTTTTCATGGGGGTCGTCGTCGTCGTCGTCGTCGTCGTCCTCTCCCTCCTCCTCCTCCTCCTCCTCCTCCTCGTCCCCCTCTTCCCCTTCGTCTCCCCCATCCGTCTCGTCCCTCCTCCCCCTCGTCCCTCGTCCCTCGTCCCTCGTCCCTCGTCCCTCGTCCCTCGTCCCTCGTCCCTCGTCCCTCGTCCCTCGTCCCTCGTCCCTCGTCCCTCCTCCCTCCTCCCTCCTCCTTCTCCTCCTCCTCCTCCTCCTCCTCCTCCTCCTCCTCCTCCTCCTCCTCCCCCTATTCCTTCTCCTCATCCTCTTCCTCCTACTTATCCTCCTGTTCCTCCCTCTTTCCCTCCTTCTGCTGAATCCGCGACCCTGGCACAAATCCCTCTGTAAGACCGGTGTCCACCTGGGTCAGGCGTATCGGCCAGCAGTCCCGCCCACTCTACTGGCGGCGTGCCCGTCTAGGGTCTTAAAGCGCCCAGGTGGGGGGCGTCAGCCCACGTTGGTGCCGGCGACAGTGAAGGGGCCCAGGGACACAAAAATAAATAAACACAACTAACAAGATTCCCCTATATTTTCCAATGTTTTCTGGGTTTTTGTCTTCCCCCCCACTTCCCATAATTTCCCGTATTTTTTGGGGGAACCGACCATTAATTGTGCCTGTGTTTTTTCCCCTCCTGAGACAGGGCGCACCTCCCCCCAAGAAAGCACTCGAAAAGAAGAAAAAACTAAACCCTCCCTCCCTCCCTCTCTCCCTCCCGCCCGTGCAAAAAGTTTTTGGTCTGACTAATATTATGCTAGCTGCAGTGCCGCCCAGTCTCGACAAGCCGTATGCTTCAACGAGGAGCCACTCCAAAAAATCCCTCCCTCCCCAGACCCCCGACGTCATGATTTTTTCATGACGCGACCCCCAGAGGCCTGGACCCCTTCCCCGGGACCGGTTCTTCGTTCTGAGTCGTTTTCTGACGGTCCCGAGGCCCGGTGAGGGCCCCTGGAGGCCGAGAATAGCGAAAAACCTCCCGCCGTGACTTTTTCGCAGCGCGAGGGGGTCTGGGCCCCTCCCTCCCTCCCTCCCTCCGCTTCGCTGCCCCTGGGCCTTGGGCGCCGGGTGCGCCTCCTCCTCCTCCTCCTCCTCCTCCTCCTCCTCCTCCTCCTCCTCCTCCTCCTCCTCCTCCCCCCCCTCCTCCTCCTCCTCCTCCTCCCTCCCTCCTCCTCCCTCCCTCCTCCCTCCCTCCCTCCCTCCCTCCCTCCCTCCCCTTTCCCTCCCTCCCTCCTCCGCTTCGCTGCCCCCTGGGCCTGGGCCGCCCAATTGCGCCTCCGGGCGCCCGCCGCCGGGCGCCCCCCAGGACCCGGGCGCCAGGGGCCCCGCCTCGCCCGCCGCCGGGCCCGGCGGGCCCGCGGCGCGGGCCTGGCGGGCCGAGGGGGCCTCGGCCACGCTAAGCGAGGAGGAACGAGGCGGAACGAGGAGGAAGCCGAGGTGGGCGAGGAGGTGTGCCGAGGTGGGCGAGGAGGGACGAGGAGGAAGCCTTCCTCCTCGTTTCCTCCTCGGCTCCTCGCACCTCCACCTCGCTCGCCCTCGCTCGCCCTCGCTCCTCGCCCCTCGCCCCTCGCTCCTCATTCCTCGCTCGTCGCTCCTCCTCCTGGTCGTCCTCGTTCCTCCTCGGCTCCTCGCACCTCCACATCGCTCGCCCTCGCTCGTCCTCGCTCCTCGCTCCTCGCTCCTCGTCGCTCCTCGTCGCTCCTCGTCGTCCTCCTCCTCCCCCTTTTACGTCAGACCGACCATCGGTAAACCTGTGGCGGCAGCGAAAAGGTGTGCACGCAACTCGACTCGAGCCAAAAAAAAGCAACCTGGCGGGCGCCGCGGGCCGTGTTGGTAGAACGAGCCGAGGAAACGCGTAGGCACTTCGTTGAGCAGGCGCCCGCCGGGTCCGTGAAGAAGTGCAGCTAAGGTAGCGTCGGCCTTGGTTGGACAGGACACGCGAGAGGACACGAGGTCACGAGACCCTTCCGAGGGCCACATCGCCACTGGAGCGTAAGAAGGCACGCGCCGCGAGGCACAGGACACAAGGGTACCCTTGAGCTGGCAGGGTCGACCTACTAGTCCGGGCCGGCTGTGCCTCAGTAGCCTCACCACGGCGCCCCGATCGTGTAAGTAAAACCCAACCCTTCATTATGGTTACTTGGTGCGGAATTGCACATTGCACACGCAAGTGAGAAATGAGGCATGGGGAGGTCGAGGCAATTGTGCTACTGATGTATAGTCGGCTGTGTGTGGTCAGTAGTCCACAAAGGGAACGAAAGGTCATTCCCCTACTGACGTGCCAAAATGGCAACTCACTGTAGCCAATATTCTGTCAACTGGGATAGGAAAGCGCTAGTCCGGTCAGCCAGGCACGAACTTCTTCTCTTGCTGCTATGTAAATTCAAACGATAGGTGGAGTTTCGTGATGTCGAGGCAATGAGTCGTGCTGCTGATATTGTCAGCTGGGAGAACAAAACGTAGAGTCAGGTCGGCCAACACCAGAAGGCTCCCCCCCCCCGTCGCATTGTTCAAGGCTTGCCTGTGAGGCTGGCCTGTCCTGAGTGAAAGCGGAAACACAAAGTAGCTTGATGACACAAGATGAATTATGCGATGCTGCTCAAGCTGCGCTAGAATCTCAATCCGTGACTGCATGACCGTCGAAAGTACGTATGATTGCTGCCGCGTGTGGGCAAACAGCGAGGTACATCTTTGTCGGGGACTCAAGTGCCCCTCTGAGGGCACGGTACGTGGAGGGTAACCTGTATCAGGTTGCCTCAAAGTGTCTAGCGTTGGTTCTGTATGCTGCAAGGCCCGCTCCGTGGGCGGCTGCAAAAAAAGGGCCACACCTTCGGCGTGCCTCAAACTATTGGCAATGTAGAAACCATGCGCTGTACCATCCATCGGTAACGACTATGCTGGCTACACGTGTGGGAAAAAAGGTTACGGGGCGTGGTGCTACTAAGGAAGGAGCTGTGCATATAGGCTGGCCTTCTGGCCGTGTGGCTGGCATTTAATGTTACAGGCTGGCCAGGAGCACATGTCTGAAGTGTGCGAAATGTGCGAGGTTGGGACGCTGTGAGGAGAAGAGAATGTGTGAAGTGCGCGGGAAAAAAGGGTGCCCTCCTGGGGCCGCTGCCCAAGGTTTTGGAGGATAACCCCAAACCAGCAGAAGATAATAGACCACCATTGTGCGGAAGAGCCGCGTGGAAAAGGGAGGATAGGCGCACAGCATTGCAGACTCAAGATGAGTCTTACACTAAAGCGAAATCGTATGCCGAGCAACCTTTCGTAAAGTAACGTGCGAATCGGGGGCTGCTACCCAGGGTTTGTAGGGCATCCCCAAGTCTCCCCCGTGTCACCCAGCCATCAAACAATGCAGGTGGTGTTGCTGGGGATGCTGATGGGAGCAGCCTGTTTCAAACTCCAGAGAGGTAAAGGTCATGCTGATACAAATGAGGAGGTATGTTTTTTTTAGGCGCAGGTATCGGGAGTTATAGAGGAGGTATGTTGTACAGGCTGCTTCCAAACTGCAAGCTAGCACGAACATGTATGGTGAAGAGGTATCGGGAGTAACATGCGCGAAAGAAAAAGCAAGCCTAGGGTTGCGTCCCAGGGTTTTGCAAGATATCCCCGAACCTGCAAGAGAAACTATACCAGCATCGTGCCAAAACAAACGCACGGAAAACTGAAGAATAGTGGATTGCAAGCCGGCGGTCTGTATAAACGGTCTGACTGATGGCCTGTCCGTACTACCTTATCAGTCGGGGTCCTTCTGCGGTAGTTGACCCACACGGGGAACTCGTTGTGGATGTTGCGGTAGGTCTGCAGTACCTTCTGAACTGGTAGAGGTCGGTCGTCATGCCTAGGTAGACCGATTCGTCGTGACGATTGTTGGCGTAGGCTTGGGAGTGGCCTTGTGTATCGTCACCATGCGTTTGGGCGGTGGCTCCCTGGATGGCGCTCCACGTGTGTTCGTTGGCGCTGTTGGGGTAGACCTCTAAACGGGCTTGGTATGTGCGTAGCCTGTCGATGTACTCCTGAAACGTGGGGTCTCCAGCCTTGTTGATGAAGATGATGGGTCGGTTGAAGATGTGTATATGGTGCTCTCCTCGTCGTGATGCTTCGTGGTGTGTTGCGATAACTGTAGCGGCGATCATCGGGAAGTAGGTGTCTCGCGTCGCCAGTGTTTGCGGTGCTAGCTGCCGCCATGGGATAGTCCCACCAGCCCTCTGGGTGTCGGTGGTTTAGAGCGTTTCTTCTTCCACCCCTCCTTCTTCCCCTTCGGGGAGGGGTTTACCCCTTCCCCTACCCCCTCCCCACTGGCCTGGACAAGGGGGGCCGCGGGTAGTTAGAGCGTCCAAGACGGCCCAACACGGCTCCAAGAGGGCCTCAGGGAGCTCACGATGACCTCCAAGATGGCTCAAGATAGCGCAAGATGCCTCAAGATGGTCCCCATGATGTTCCAAGACGCTCCAAGAACTCCCCAAGACGGTTCCAAGTGCCCACACGAGCATCATTAGGATGCATCCAAGAGGCCAAAATGCTTCAAAACCCTGGGGAAAAACAATGTTTTTGGTGTTCTCACTTTTTCGCTTGCGATGCACATCCGACGCGTCAAGATGGCTCCAAGATGGCTCAAGATAGCTCCAAGAGGGGCCCAAGAGAGCCTCAGGATGGCTCCAAGAGCGGCCACGAGCGCTCCAAGAGCGATCCAAGAGGGGTCCAGGAAGCGATTTTTGGAGCTCCTGGGGGGGGGCTGTAATTAGGGAACCCCACTTCCTTGGCCGATGTCCTCCACGATGGCCGCAAGAGGCCCCCAGGATGCCCCAAGAGGCCGCAGGATGGCCCCAAGATGGCCCCAAGAGGCCCCCCAAGAGGCCCCCAGGAGGCCCCCAAGAGACCCACAAGAGGCCCCAAGAGACCCCCCAGAGGCACCCAAGGGGCACAGATGGCCCCAAGAAGCGCCCAGGAGGCCCCCAACGGCCCCAAGATGGCCCCAAAAGGCCCCAAGAGGCCCCCAGGAGGCCCCAAAGAGGATCCCGAACGGCCCACAGAGGCCCCCCCGAGGCACCCAAGACGCCGAAAAGCCCCTCAGGACGACCCTCTACTCGCCTGGGCGTTGTTTCTGGACGGGCTGGTGGGGATACGCGAAGCGTCTAGAATTCGTATCCATAGCTGGGGGTGGATGTCGTCTTCTGGTGGGTATATGATATGTGCATTAAGTGCAGGCAGTGGTGGGTGTGCCAGTAAGTAGATGTACAATGGTGGTGGTTTGATCGTGGCGGTGAATGTAGGTGAGGGAGTCTTTGGCGATGCTGTTGTGTAATTTGTTTTGGGCGTGTTCGGCGGCTGTTGTGCGGCTTGATTGGTTAGTTCGACCAAGTGTGTGGTGGTGGCTTGTAAGGTCTCTGGCGTGGTGCAGTTCTTATTGTCGTGGTCGTCATGGGCTTCCTTCGGATCGTGTTGTGTTTTGGTTGCGAATGGGTTGTGTTATCCTGCGTCGAAGCTGCTGGTGGTGCCAGTCCATTAGGTTTCGTGGGCTGCTGTGTAATCTGAAGCTCCGCTGTTTGGTTGCGTGTGTCGTCGGTTGTATGTGTTGGGCTCGTCGGAGTGTCACTTGCTGTCCAAGGTGGCGGTAGCGTGGGTGCAAGCAGCTTGATTATGACGGGTTGTGCTGGTGGCGGCGGTTTGGTTGGTGTTTGCTGGGTCTTTTGTAGTGTATTGGTGTTGCTGTCTTTGTCGTTGAAACTGTCGCTGTCGTCGTACTTGCTGGTGGTGTGTCGCCTTGGGTCAAACGGATTGTAGATACGCAGTCACGCTGTAACAGGTGGGCTGTGCTGCGTAACCATACTGCCCAACCTTAATGATGTCGTGCTCGTCGTGGCAAGAGTTGAGCCATTGTGCGACGTCTTGTATGGCGACGGTATTGACATTGTCAAGCGTGGCGTGTCCCCCTGCGATCAGCGTGATGAGGTGGTCGTAGACCTTGACGACTTGTACTCTTAGTGTGAAACTGTCGCGGTATTGTGCCGCCAATGCCTGCAGGTTGCTGCCGTATCGTGCGAAGGTTGGGTGTTTAGGCGGCTTCTCGGTTTCTCGGTTTCTCGCAAAAGGTCTGCCTCGTGCTAGCACAAAACAGGCCATGAGATCCCGCCTTGACGAAGCTCATGCACAGGCGTCGCGCGGGCGCGCCGCTCTCTGGTTGGTGTGCTCCTCCTCCTCCTCCTTCTCGTGCTCCTCCTCCTCTTATCCCTTGCAGAGAACTCCTCCCTGTCTCGCCCCGAGGCTGGGCCGCAGGGCGTTTCGCCAGAGACTTCCTTGCCACTTGAACTCCTGATGTGAAAGGCTTCACACTAGCTTCGCGGCTGGAGGGCGGGTGGTTTTCAAACTGCGGCCCTCGCCGTGGCGTCGTGCGCACTCGTCTGAAACAAAACAGAGCGTCACGGATGGAGGGCGGGTGGTTTTCAGAATGTGGCTCTCGCCTCAGCGCCGCGCGCATTCGTTCAAACAAATGCAAAGGCTCCCAAAGCGGTGTTGTGGACCGGTTCAGGATTCTCAGGCCGCAACAATTACGATGATTCGCGGTGGTGAAGTCCCAGGAACGTTGTTCCGGCACGATTCAGGATCGTCAAGACGCCACAGTCAGGTTGGCTCCTGGCGTTGACGTTACGCTTCAAGATCTTAAAACAATTGTATCCTAACGGGGCCCTTCCCTCAGTGGAAATGAACCCCGTTGGGGGCCTATGAAGAGGGAGCTTCGAGGGACGGTTTATTCCAACACCGTTGATGAGCTTTTGGTTTACACTGGTCCTCCCCCTCCTCTCCTCCTCCTCTCCTCCCTCTCCTCCTCCTCCTCCTCCTCCTCCTCCTCCTCCTCCTCCTCCTCCCCCTCCTCCTCCTCCTCCTCCTCCTCCTCCTCCTCCTCCTCATCGTCCTTTTCCTTTTCCTGGCTCCTCCTCCTCCTCGTCCTTTTCCTCTTCCTCCTCGTCCTTCGGCTGCTGGCCGCGGGTCATGACGCCACTCGCCTCGGCACTATGTTCCGGCGTTCGCGGTGTGCTCGCTCCTTCTGCCGGAAAGGGGCCCTTGTCTCAATTTTGGCCGAAGGTTTGTGTCCCGCTCTCCGACTTCGGCCAGGTTTCACGGGAGTGGACTCCCCAGGCGGAGGTGGACCCGCGCGACGCGCCGCCCACGCTGTCAGTTCAGTGGCAGACGTCCAGGCGCGGCGCCCCTCCATCCGACCACCCCCTCTTCCCCCTCTGTCCACGAGCCGCACGCCCTGGCGACCTGCCAGCGGTGTGGTGTATCGTCTCGTGTGTGGGTCTCTCGGCGTCGATCAAGCCCGCAGGTCGTCAACGGGCTGTGTGCCGCCCGCGGCTCCAGGGAGGGAGGCGTCGTCCCGACGGTCTCGCGGGCGCCCTCCCGAGTCTGGTATGAGCTTCCCCGTGCGGGGGTGACCGTTTCGTGCGCCCAAGCTTGCTCTTGGTTGCCACATTCTACGCAATCGCAATCGCAATCTCCTCCTCCTCCTCCTCCCCCTCCTCCTCCTCCTCCTCCTCCTCCTCCTCCTCCTGCCCCCCCCAGCTTTCCCTCCCTCCCTCCCCCCCTCCCTCCCTGCCTCCCTACCCTCCCTCCTCCCTCCTCCCTCCGTCCCTCCATCCCTCCCTCCCTATCTCCTTGCCACCCTGCCTCCCTGCTTCCCTGCCTCCCTGCCTCCCTGCCCCCCTGCCTCCCTGCCTCCTGCCCCCCCTGCATCCCTGCCTCCCCTCCCTCCCTCCCTCCCTCCCTCCCTCCCTCCCTCCGCTCCTCCACCCTCCGCCTCTCCCCGCAAGCTGGGCCGCGCCCCTCAGCCGAGCAGGGGTGGGGGCGGGGGTGCCGCACCCCGGGGAGGGTCTCCTCCGGTCTTCTCTCAACGCCTCGTAGCTGCACACTGCGGTGGCATCATGGATGGTACGGACGGGCGGGACCCCAGTCGAGGTGAGCCGAGAGCTCTCACACTGCCCATCCCCACTCCGCGTTTCTGGTGTCCTCCCGGCACTTGAGGCAGCCGGGCTCCCCCTGGGAACGGCCCATCTTCCCCCTGGTCCCTGGAGGGGCGTTCAGCTGCAGCCTTCTCCTCTTCCGGGAAAGCCCGCTCCGCGGGTATGGGAGGAGGGTGCAGCTAGCCCTCCTGTGGTCTGGGTGGTGGAGGCGGAGAGGTCCCAGGGGGGGTCGCCCCCGGAGGTCTCTTGGACCGAGTTGCGCCGTGACGCTGCGGTTGCTGGATCCCCGAGACAGGCGGTGGGCTGTACCCCAGCCATCCCTGAACGGGAGGCGCTGCTGAAGGGGCTGTGCCCGCGGCCCCACCCGATGCCTCCCCAGGCCACCACCACCACCACCACCTCCTCCTCCTCCTCCTCCTCCTCTTCTTCCTCCTCCTCCTCCTCCTCCTCCTCCTCCACCTCCTCCTCCTCCTCCACCTCCTCCTCCTCCTCCTCCTCCTCCTCCTCC